GATTACAGGCGTGAGCCACCGCGCCCGGCCTACCCGGCTAATTTTTGTATTTTTTTTTAGTAGAGACGGGGTTTCACCATGTTGACCAGGATAGTCTCGATCTCCTGACCTCGTGATCCTCCCACCTCAGCCTACCAAAGTGCTGGGATTATAGGTGTGGATCACCATGCCCGGCCTAAAAAATATATATATATATATATATTTTTTTTTAGACAGAGTCTTGTTCTGTCACCCAGGCTGGAGTGCAGTGGCGCGATCTCAGCTCACGGCAAGCTTCACCTCCTGGGTTCACACCATTCTCCTGCCTCAGCCTCCCGAGTGGCTGAGACTACAGGGGCCCGCCACCATCCCCGGCTAATTTTTTGTATCTTTAGTAGAGACGGGGTTTCACCATGTCAGCCAGGATGGTCTTGAACTCCTGACCTCATGATCCGCCCGCCTCCGGCCTCCCAAAGTGCTGGAATTACAGGCGTGAGTCACTGCGCCCGGCCCTAAAATCTTTTAATTGAGGTACAACATACATAAAAATGCACCAATGATAAATATGCAGGGTGAGGGATGCCTGACCTGAACCAGCCACATAAGTAGCAGCAGACCAACAGACAAAGCGTTCCCACCCGGAACGGCCCCCGCGAGTCGCTGCCGGCCCATCTGGCCCATGACGTGAATGGGGTCGCAGCTACTCTCTCTGGCTGAGGTGCACCCATGCCGGTGGCTGCAATCCTCTGCCTCAGACTGTGGTGTCCACGGTGTGAACAGACCACGTGGCATCTGGTGGCTTCAGACTCCCTATCAACAACTGTTGCTGGGAGATTCTTGTACCATCTGACGGACACAGGCGCATCTGCGGAGTGCACCCGGGAGACACGGGCAGGGACGTATCTTCAGCTTTGGGAGGCCTGTTTCTGGTGGCACACGCAGCCCTAGGCTGCTCAGAGGGGACAGCGCGCTCTGCCCACACCGCCACAGGACCTGGTGCCTGGCCGCAGCCACATGGCCTCGGCCTCAGTCCAGCCTTTTGCCTCCCATGCCCTTTGCCCCTCACGCTGTGCTTCCAGCCTAAACACAGGGCAGAGATGGGTCCCAGGGTGTGCGGAGGCCGAGCCTGCCTGGGGAAGGAAGGCGGCTCCATTGGTGTGAGGGCCCCAGGAGGCCCCCAACGTCCACAGCACCTCACAGACCCAGACCCCACTCACTGCTGGCCACGAGCCGGTGAGCAGCCCCTGCCCCAGAGCACTGTGACCTCACATTACAAGGACATACGTGTTTGCAGCTCCATAATGAGGCCTTTGAGACAGACGGCGGTTAACCCCAGCCTCCGCGCCACCACCCAACCCGGGACTTGAAAGGTCATGAGAATTGGGCAGCCTTTTTCCTGCCAAGAGGCAGCTGGAGGGCATCGGAAGTGGGGTGACCCTGCCACAGGACTCCCACTGTGGGTTCTCACTGGATGTGCCTGTTGGGGGCTTTGTGGGAAGATGAGGCACAGCTGAGCTGGAAAAAGTCAACTTTTTGATGCGTTATGGTCATGGGGGAGATAAATTAGCCTCGGGATGATCTGTGATTAGATGAAATCCCACAGCTAATCCCATCTCAATTTTGATCTCTTAGTGCCCCTGGAAACATTGCGTGTTGAACGGCCGGAAGATGCTTGGGGCTGGCCCATCCGCTCACCAGGGTCCCCCCACGGGCAGAGGCACTGTTCCTCTGTTCCTGTAGAGCACTTTCCTCCAGCTCATGGCCAGAGGTAAGCGGGGTCTGGGTCTGTGAGGTGTTGTGGACATTGGGGGCCTTCTGGGGCCCTCACACCAACGGAGCCGTCTTCCTTCTCCAGCTTTGGGAGACCTCTTCAAACTGGCAGACCTGAGGCAGCGCTTCTGGACCAGCGCCCGCGAGGAGAACGCAGACGCTTTCCTGCGTTTATTCAGTGTCTGGCATCCAGGGCCTGCAACACACACAGGCACGTACACATACACACACAAGCACACACAGGCACGCACACACACACACACAAGCACGTACACATACACACACAAGCACACACAGGCACGCACACATACACACACAAGCACACACAGGCACGCACACACACGCGCAGGCATGTACACATACACACACAAGCACACACAGGCACGCACACATACACACACAAGCACACACAGGCACGCACACACACACACACAAGCACGTACACATACACACACAAGCACACACAGGCACGCACACATACACACACAAGCACACACAGGCACGCACACACACGCGCAGGCATGTACACATACACAAGCACACACAGGCACGCACACATACACACACAAGCACACACAGGCATGCACACACACGCGCAGGCATGTACATATACACACAAGCACGCACATAGGCACGTACACATACACACACAAGCACACACAGGCACGCACACACGCGCAGGCATGTACACATACACACACAGGCACACACACACAGGCACACACACACGCAGGCATGTACACATACACAC